ATATATATATATATATATATATATATATATATATATATATATATAATAAAATTTAATAATTTATTTTATTATTATTATATAATAACAAATTTTTTCTTAATAATTATCAATAATATAATTTTATAATATCAATAATATAATAATATAATATAATTTTAATGCTCCTCAAATATTGTTGCAAAAAATTGTACTTTTTGTTCAATATATATTCAACACTGCAGCAATATCTTGTAATCAGTGTTGAAAAATCAACATAAATTCCACGTAGAAAAAACATCCACACTTCTATTTTCAATGTTGCAACATCTTATCAAGGTTTTTTCAACGTTCTGTGCTGTATGCGTCATAATGTTTTCTAAGTGATTTTAAGACATTTGAAAAACATTCTTATGTAATTATTTTAAATAATTCGTATTCAATTAAAAAACAGATATCTTCAGACATGTTCAGATATATTTCCAATACCAAGTTTTAAGTAGGTGAATGAGAATTAAAATTTTGAAAGCATTGGAAATATAAAAAATGGAATTAAAATTACGATTAATTTAATTCTATTTTAGATCGTCAACAAAAGCACTAAGAAAAAAGGTTTTAAATATGCAGTGAAAATGTTTTCATATTATTTAACAATAATGGGTTAAGCCTCATTTCTTCATTAAAAAAAATATTTATTATATTTAAAATAATGTTTTGTTAACATATTGTAATAAAAATGTTTTTGTAAATGTGAAGGACATAAATTTTAAACAAATCTTATAACATTAAAATAACATTATTTAAAAAAATTAAATGTTTAACAAAATTTACTTGGAAAAACATTTCAAAAATGTTAAAAATAATAGAATAATTCTTCTTTTTCATTAGAAAAACGTTTAATTTTTTAAAATAATGTTTTTTAACGTTATACGATTTGTTTAAAATTCATTTCCTTCACATTTACAAAAACATTTTTATAACGTTAACAAAACATTATTTCAAATATAATAAATGTTTTTTTTTAATAAAGAAATAAGGTTTAACCCATTCTTGTTAAATAATATGAAAATATTTTAACTGCCTGTTTAAAACCTTTTTTCTTGGTGCTTTTGTTGACGATTTAAAATGGGATTAAATTAATCGCAATTTTAATCCTATTTTTTATATTTCCAATGCTTTCAAAATTTCAATTCTCATTCACCTACCCAATATTTTAAAGATGTTTCTAAAATGTTATTTCTTTCATTTATTAAAGTGTTATTTCTTTCATTTTCTCAAATCATTATCAAACAAATTTTGTTAAATATTTTTTTGCTGATATATAGTATTTACTAAATATTGCTTTTCATTAAATATTTACATAGAATAATTTTAAAGTATTTTAAAAATATTTTTAAAATATCACGAAAAGATTAGAAAAATGTCTACAATCATTATTTGTGACAAATAATTAATGTATACTAAATATTTAAAAATGTTTAAAAAATGTTTCAAAAATATTTATTAAATTATTATATAATACGAACAATAAATATAAAATAAACGTTTTAAAAACGTTACAGAAACATTTGAATAATGTTAATTGAAATTATTATTTTCAACGAATAATTAATATATAATTATAAAAATAATTATAAAATTATAATTATAATTGTATAATTATAATTATATAATTGTAAAATAAATATTTAAAAAAATGTTTAAACAATGTTTGAAAAATATTTGTGAAAATCATTATGTCAAACCAACAATAAATATAAAATAAATATTTTAAAAATGTTTCAAAAATATTTATTAAAATCATATAAAGCGAATAATAAATATAAAATATACGTTTTTAAAATCGTTACAAGAACGTTTAAAAAATGTTAATTGAAATTATTATTTTCAACGAATAATTAACGTAAAATAAATATTTAAAAAATATTTAAACAATGTTTGTAAAATATTTTTGAAAATCATTATGTCAAACAAATAATAAATATAAAATAAATATTTTAAAAATGTTACAGAAACATATGAAAAATGTTCACAGAAATAGTTTCAAAAAAATAATCAAAAATAATCAATTTAAAATGTTACAAAAACGTTTAAAAAATGTTTATTGAATCATTATTTTATACGAAAATAATTAATATAAAATAAATATTTAAACAATTTTTAAAAAATATTAAAAAAAATATTTATTGCAATTATTATGTCGAACGAATAATAAATATAAAATATACATTTTTAAAACATTACAGAAACGTTTAAACAATGTTTAGTAAAAAATCATTATTACAAATGACAAATTAATGTTATATAAATATTAAATAAATATTATAAAAACGTTTAAAAAATATTTTTTTGAAAATCATTATTCCAAATGAATATTTAATGAAAAAAATTAAATAAATGTTATATAAATATTTTTCTTATAATGAGTTGAGAAAATGAACAATAAATGAAAAAAAAAACATTTTAAAAACATTTTAAAAATATTGGCTTCTGATTGGGAAGTCATGGCTGAGTCTATGAGATGTGTCTTTAAATTCGAGAAATGCTTTTAAAGTGTATTTGTTCATTATAATGAATAAAGCTTTTAATAATGATGATGAAAAAAAATACCTGCAGTGAAAATATATAATTATTTATTTCGTGCAAAGAGTGCAAAAAGAAGAAAAGTAATATGCATATTAAAGGAAAGACAAAGTCGTCTTGAATTATATTAAGACATGTGGATGAATTTTTATACCGAAGCCGATTTTTTCTCCATTTTAGGATAAAACGTTTAACGTTTCAAAATTTATTGCAAGTGATAATGCAATAACAGGAAATGCAAAAAGTAAGTAACTATGACCAGGGCCCCTATTCTTGAAATTTTTGCGTATACGTAATTTTCATTGAGTAGCTATTTTATGGTATGATTAAACCTGCGCAGTAATACTTACGTATACGTAACTATTTCAAGAATAGGGGCCCAGATAACATGAATAACTTGCTATTATAAACTACAATTTTAATGTAATTGCAGATATTTACTTTGGTCCAGTATTTCAATTAATTTCAATGCAATTCAATTTTAACGTTAAATGTACAATTAACTATAAATGTACAATTTAAGTCTATAAACGTCCAAAATTGGCAGCCCCAATTTGCGGTTATATGCTCAACTGTGAATAAAATATCAAGAATAGGATAAATTGAATAGATGTAAAACATACTAGATTTGAGGTTTTCACGGCCATTGATACAATGTCTAGGTATAGCTTCCGAAATGGCATATAAGGACAACCTTTACCCAAGGGAGCTCAGTATCAGAGTTCTCAGCCCTGATGATGCAAACTGCAACGTTTGCGAAACGTCGGCACATCGCTGATTCAAGACACGGCTCCATTCCGGAAGCTATACCTAGACATTGTATCAATGCCGTGAAAGCCTCAAATCTAGTATTAGAAGCCTACACGGAGAGGCTATCCTAGGGTCGGTAAATTTATTTTCCAAACTCAGGAAGTCCTTGCATGTCCAACTGTGCTCCCTAGCATTTCTGAAACGGTGCCGCGACCATCATGTAGTACCGAAATGCTTTCAATTAAAAAACCCATTTCCATCTTCTAACCAGGTCAAAGGTATTCTACGACAAGCGTCGTTGAGATTAGTGAAAGATAGAATCTCAGCCACCAAGAAGAACTTGGCTGAGATATCCCAAAAACTATTAAAATTACAACTCTCTCTTGCAAAATCGTTGGAGCCTGAGCTGTGGCTGTCACTAGATCGGGTTACTCTCGAACAAGCTGTTCACTCAGCTGAAGCAAGAACACAAAAACAGAAGAGCAAGTATGATAAGATCAATCCACAGACTCAAATGCCAGTTCTCACACATACAAGGAAGAATCTTAGCAATCAAGATCTATCACCATCCGAAGTCGCTGTTCTAGCTAAGGGACACAATTTTGCTGTCACTCCCTCTAGTATTCCTACGGAAGAAATCATCAGCCAAATTGAAACGGCTATTTTCCACCTTCCTTTAGAGGCAAGCAATGACATCAGAAATCGAACAACCAACATCCTACGCAAAGCCAAACTTCCCAAACAAAATATAAACAAAGAAGAACGCCGAGCTCTCCACGGTCTGAAACAAAACAACAAGATCCTAATTTTACCAGCAGACAAAGGGAACGTTACTGACAGTTAGTTATGAACAGGGAAGAATATTGCAGTAAAATCAACAGTTTACTCTCAGACCAAAAAGTCTACAGGAAACTCAAACGCAACCCAACATCCAGCATAGAGAAGAAAACATCTTCTCTTCTGAAAAATGCAGGTCTCCCTCTTCAAACTATCAAGTATTTAACCCCTCCAGATTCTTCAGCACCTAGACTCTACGGTCTTCCAAAAATCCACAAGGAATCAGTGCCCTTACGCCCTATTGTCAGC